CACCGACACACCCACACACCCACACACCCCACACCCGCACCCGCACACCCACACCACACGCACCCGCACCCGCACGCGCATGCGCACGCGCACGTGCACACGCACGCACGCACATATACATACATACATACATACATATATATATATATACACATACATACATACATACATACACACATACATACATACATACATACATACATACATACATACATACACACACACACGAGAGACCGCGAGGGAGAGGGAGAGAGAGAGCGAAAGTGCCTATGTTTGTATCATGTAGAATGTAGAGTGAGAAACAGAGAAATCGGGTTTTCGGTCGTTGACATGTGGTCTTTGTTGGCCAACACTCTCAAATCCCACAGCCTCAAAATCCGAACTCGAACCTGAATGCTGTTCTGCACCGAGGATCAAAACAGCCGTCTTCTGCAAAGAGAACCTGACTGAGTGGGGTTGGATGGGCAGGGCAGAGCAGATCGTTTCTGCATTCGAAGCAGGCCTCTTGGAATGAAGGTTTAATTAGCAACTTTCAGAGAGCAGCAGTACCTAACCGTGGCAAGCTGAACATTTCGTAGCAGGAGTATTATGTGGTTACGGTACCATCTGGGATAGCAATAACAAAATCGAGAGAGAAGTGCTTCATGTCAAGACGCTATATCTGGTCTCAACCTCTCTGTAGCCTAGAGGAAGGCTTGTATACTGTGGTTTCTGGCCCTGAAGCCTTGCAGGCCAGACTCAAAACGCCAAGCCCCACGCGAAACTCCGAAGCCCTAAACCCTGAATACACCCATGAGTTTTCGCCGCTTGAGGCTGGATTGGTTCTTAGATGCAGTTTTATCTCTGGGTGTGGGTCTTGGATGTGGTTTGTCATTCCCTGTCTCACGCCGACCTCGCACCATGAACCTCGCCTGGCTTGTCCGAGTTGTGAGAGCGTAAGCCCTGAATACTGACTGAGCCCGAAGTCTCTGGTTGTTCGAGCACATCCAAGGTCTTCGGGAAAGGGGGTGGCAAGTTTCATCAAAGCTCTGGCGGACGAACCCGAACTGCCCTGCGCTGCCAAAACAGGGATCTGTGGTCGCAAATCCGCTGAGCAGCTCTGCTGCAGGATTTTAGGAGCTCATAGGGTTACCCTAATAGGGTTTAGGGCTTGGGTTGAAGCTTTTCTCTTGTTCTGTCATTTGGAGTTTTCGTCGGTTCAACGTTTGGGGCTGAATCTGCCCAAGCGCTAGTGCTAGCTCGCAAGGAGGAGAACCCTGTAGACCTGAGTAACAAGGCGAGTTATATGCAGATGCTGTCAAGCATGCCATATTGGCTGGTGGAGCATGGTCAGATGTCTGCCTCGTAGACTGGAGGGGCCATCTGCGCATTCATGACCCCAGTCAGTGCGATCATCACCACTACACCAAAGCAGGCTATATGGAATATCTTGATGCTTTAGGCGATTGTCTGCTGTTGGCGTGATGGTGCTCACGGGAGAGAAAGCTTCGCTGGTGCCAATGTTTCTGCTCCAAGCGAAATTCTCAATTCCCTTTGTGGAAGTGAGAGTTTGTTGGTTACAGGCGACGGAGCTTCCCCTTTTGTGTCTCGCAGACACTGCTGAACACGATGATGTGTTTCTGACCATAGTATTCACATTGCCACTGAGCTGAGTTTTCGTTAGCATCGTCAAGCGCCTTCTGAACGATTGAGAGACCTGCAAGAAACTGGCAGCATTGTTATGAGCGACTGCAGGGCCGCAGCGTTTGACGATTTGAGGCCTTGAAGAGGAAATGCCCGTGGTTGATCGAGTTTTGGGACATTGTGGGACGGAAGAGGACATACTGGCAAGGCCAGCACTTTCGAAGCAGCAGAAAAAGGCGTTTCTGTGTTTTAGGGCCTCCGTGCGCTTCGGGCATGGGTGCTCTCTTCCACTAGAGCATGAAGGAAACCACGGTTCGGGCACGAGTGCTCTCGTCCCAAGTCGCACTTTCTCGCGTGGACGTTATCATCCGGACAGAATGCCTGGCGGCAAGCCAGGCCCAAGATCCCGAAAACCCCTCAAAGCCTGAACGGCCTGAACGGCTACTGCTGGCGACGCTGGCTGCAGGAATCTCTGAGCACCTAGATAGGGACTTCAGGAAACGGGTTTACAATAGTTTTTGGCTCTATATTGGGGGCTGTCTTCCTGCATGGACCACCCCGTCCCAAGACTCTTCCCACCAGGGGTTTCGAAACCAAACCTCGGATTTTTTGTAAGGGCTTACAGTAAACCCAATTGTGTTGACCCCATGAGGGCAATGAGTTTCGGTTCATGTGTAGTTTTATTCAGTTTACCCTTCGAATTAAAAGCCATTGAACGTGACCTGGGTTGCGCGTGCTTGAGTTTTAAGCGATGGTTGCAATCTAGCCTGAAACCACGCCCTTGACAACCCTCGCCCAAGACCCCTGCGTAAGCTACGCCCTGATGCTGTTAAGGCGGACATCGCTAGCTACAGCTCCATTATGGCTGCCTGTTCAAGGGCCAAACAATGGCAGCCTCCCGTCTGCACAAGGCTTCGTATGCTTAGAGGGTTGGCTCTTTTAGCCAAATCCTCGATTTTCGGCACATGTCCCTCTTCAGGCTGTTGAGCTGTTTGTGAGTTGGCAGTTATTCATCCGGTTCTTTTCTCATCACGCTGGGTGCCTTTCTTAGACCTATAGGGCAAACCTAGTCTCTGGTTTTGTCACATCCAAAGGATACGCCAACACGCAACAGCACCTGCGACGAGCTGCTGAAAGACCAATGCCGCTCCATCAACTCGTTGATTTCACAGAACAAAGGCCCGAAAGGACCAAGATCCCTACGTCCAAACTTCTCCAGGCTCTCCTTGAAGCTGTTCTACACTCTCGAGCATCTGCAAGCAGCACCGGACTGCCGCTGCCGGGGGGGTCTGGCGGAGGGTACCATAGACCCAGCGAAGGCTTCTGAGCCATGTTCATGCAAACCCGACTGCGAGTTTCTCCGAGTTTGCAAGGACATGTCGTGTTGCGGCCTTGATGCCGGCAGGTCACGACGAAAGCCTCAACAACAATCAGACCTGGCAATAGCATGCAATAGCCATGACAACGATCATGCTAGCAACTACGAAGGTCGTGCCCGGCGTGGTCGCCACAGTGGTATCGGCAGCAGGAACAGTACTAGTACTTGCTGCGGTTGTTCCACCCATAGCAATGTCTCGCATAGGCAAGCGTAGCAACGAAGACAGCGAGTACCAGCAACAGTTCCTATAATCATAGCTGCGGTCATCATCGCCATGGTCGTCACCACCATATCTGTCCTTTTCATCTTGTCTGCTGGTTTCATCACCAGAATCGTCTAGACCGAGAAAGCATGCTAGGGTGAGCCGAGCCTGGGCAGCTAGGAAGGTCGGCGCAGGCTTGTCTTCGTTTGTAGAGCCACCACAAAGCCAACCCGCGGTGTGACATCGTATTTGGCTTGTGGGTTAACAGCTTTCGGCGCTTCCGACTGAAGGTTGAGATTGACCGAGAGTAGACGGAGGCCTTCAAGACCCTGACATACGGCTCGTAGGGTTTAGGAATCCCACAGCCTGCCAGGATTTGGTGTGCTATGGCGGTGCGCTGACGGCCTGTGGCTCGGCCGGTACACGAAACCCACGAATCTCCCAACACTCACTCTCAACCCCAATGATGGCCCCAATGAGGACCTGGGCCGAGACACCTAAGACCTGAAATCTTTAAAGCCATATGCCGAATCGTCTCAACACATTGCCTTTCTACATCCTTGGTCCGAACACCTCTGCTGTTAGACTCATGTTTGGCCCGCATCTCCGGCTGCAGGAGGATGTCTCAGCTTGCAAGGGCCAAATCAGGAATATTGGCGGTCCACGTGGTCCAACCTCAGAAGAAACGCACCCTAAAACCGAACACAAAGTAAACTTTGAGCAGGGCCCCGGCTCTGGAAGTCCGGGGCACGAAAAGGTAGGAGATTGAGCCTGAGTTTGGGATTGGAAGCTGTTGGTCGCGAGTCAGAGAAGGTCCAGAAGACCAGCCGACAATACCAAGCCTCGTAGTCGAAGCTCTTCAAGACCGGCAGGTTTTTGTCACGCACCACTTTCCGTGAAACCCGGAACCTACAGTCAGCCAGCCCCAAGCCGATGATGTGAGTTGCCATCGACGACAAGCCCCTCCGAAACTCTCAAGCAAAGAGGCGAGGGAGGACGCTGGCAGCAGGCAGAGGACTCTTCTTTGGCCTAACCATTCGCAGGCGAAGTCACGAGTCCCTTCAGGGTTGGTGTTGGCGGCTGTAAGTTTCATTGGTCATGTTAGGGATGTGCTGGTCCGCAGTGTAGCTTGGCACAATGACTCGTAACCGCCCGAGCCCTAGAGGTTTCGTTTCGGCGAAATCACATGCCTTTTCTCGGCATTTTCGAAACACATGAGTCGCAATCATAAGAAGCCAAAAGATGAATCTAAAACCGCAAGTGCACGGACAATTCTTCTGAGAGTCGGGGGGGGGGGGTCTTTTATCATTGCAGCATTCAGCGGGCATGCTCAAGTTTGCTTGCTCAGATGCCCTTTGGCCTTCGATGCCTTCGAGGGTTTAGGACCTCAGGTTTGAGCTTCTGACCAAGGCCTTGGGTCGAAGCCGAGACAAGCCAAGACCGTTCAGATCCAAACCAGAGACCCCAAGCCCTTGAACAGTAGAATCATGATTCTCAGCAGGAGCTGTTGCGAAGCATGGTCTCGAAGTCCATCCAGCCTGACCAGGATCGGCCGCCCGGGTCTGGAGGGGTCTAGGATCTAGGCCCTAGGCCTCAAGACCTTTTCTTGTACGGGTTGTATAACTAAGTAGAATACCTCGAGCCAACTGTGTGCCGCTTTCATCGCTCTGAGCAAGTCTAGCAGCTCTGAAGTCGTGGTATAAAACCCAGTACCCTTTCAGCCCTTAACCCCTAAAGCGATCCCAAACCTCAGGGTTGCTTCTTGGCGGCAGCTCGAGCCTTCAACGCCTCCTCCTCGTGGCAGCGAGCTATTGAAGTCTTTCGCACCCGGGCATCCATGCCTGCCGGGTTTTGTGGTGAAAGTGTAAAGCATGCGGGGCTATCTCGGTAGTCTTGAGGTGTCGAATGCTACGAGATTTGCGGATGAGGCTCGTTTCGTCGAGCAAATTTGGGTTGGAAACTCCTTCGGGCCACCCTTCAGAGTTTTGGTATGGCCTTGTAGGGTGTAGGCCGGCCTCGCCCAACAAAGCCCTGCAAAACACAAACGGCAAGTGCTTCAGCACCAACGTGGAGTTAAGGGCTGCTCCGCCTTTCTCCTTCAGGACAGTTCCACATTCAGTCTGCAGTTGCTGTTGTTGGGATTCCTGTAATGCATGGCCTGTTCCATCAGAGGCTGTTGCATGTATCAATCAAGCTTTGTCTCCATGTGAGCGTTTGTGGTGCAGAAGTCGACGCTAGGCCCGCTAGGCACCTTCTGTCCTTGTTTCAACATATGAGTGCATGTCTGCTGAAGACAATTGGGATGCGGCCAGTTGCGTTTGAGCCGTACTGCAAGCCCGCTCGGCAGTTTCCCGCTTCAGGGCTTTAAGGTTTAGTGTTTTGCTTTTGAGGTTTAGGGCTCTGTTTCGGCAGGTAGGACACACTGAGGTTTGGGGCTCCTGTCCTAGCCATTCCAACTTGGAAGCTTAGGGCTTCGTGTTGAAAACTTGAGCAGTGGAATTGCTTACCTGATGATTCGGTGCGGATTTCGCAAGCCTTAGCCCACCAGGCAGTTGGCATTCTCAGGAACAGGGCAACCGCTCCATGTCTGGCAGAAGCCTGAAAGTCCTAAACCTAAACCTCAGCTGCACGTCATGCCTCCTCTCTGAGGCACCGCCGGCTATTTGCATGCGCGCCTGCTGCAGAAAAAACGGAGTAGAGCATGGTTTAGGGCCTACAGCTTACCCTTTCGGGATGTGGTTCGTGTTTTCCCAAAACAGTTAAGGTTGGCCCTGTGATGTGTTTTCGAGGGTTTATGAGCTGTGGCGGCTTTGCGAAGCCGAAGCCTTACAGCAAGCATCTGGCATGGACATGGTCTACACTCACAACACGATGCCAGGCCCATCGAGGTTGCCTCACAAAGACTTCCAGAAAAGGCTGCAATCTAACCGCACATGGCCCGCAAGCCTTGAGATGTAGACTGGAGCCAGTGCAGACTTTCCTGCTGCGTCTCGCCTGACGAGTTGCACTTCCTACTTGTAGAAGCAGGACAGTCGCTTGGGAGATCGCACAGGGTTTCGAGTTGTTGGGAACTGGAGATTCTGATGGTAAGAGAGCCTTTCTTCATTGACCCTACCATCTAATTGTCTTCGCCATGCGAGAGGGAAAAAATTGTCTTGGCGCATTCTCCCCGTGTAGGGCTGGGCGCAACTTGCTGATCCGAGACAGGAACAGGATGCAGTAGTAACAGGATGGTTTTGGCGTTGTTGAAGGTGGCATCATCATGATAGTTATCGCTTCTGCGTGCAGGAGTTTTGGTGCCTACAATTTTTAGCCCTTCAGTGCCCCTGCCAGAACCTGAAACGTCGCCAAGCTTTCCTTTTTGTAACACGTTTCCTCAAGCACATGCTCCAGTGAAGCATTTACAGTCGAAGCATCACCAGTTCAATTTGGCACGTCTTTTCGATCCCGCCCAAGTGAGCTTTGGGGTTGTTGGCCTTGTGTGTTTGTTCGGAGGATCGGGGAATGTTATTTCTGCCGACTGCCCCTGACGCCCCAACCAGGGTGCGCCCCGAATGGGCTGGGCTTCCGTGACAGGGAGACTAGAGTCTAGAGAGAGAGAGAGAGAGAGAGAGAGAGAGCCCATAGCCCTGCTGAAAGAAAGAAAGAGAGAGAGGGAGAGGGAGACCATTACAGACTGTGTTTTTTGTTGCAACAGTCAGAGGGGTCCCACAAAGTCCGCCACTCCATAAAACAACGGGTGGTGGGGCGGGCCAAAGCCCTGAGGGTCGGGACTCCCACCCCTACGCCCCGCAGAAAGAAAGAAAGAAAAGGGAGAGGGAGAGGGAGGGAGAGGGACTGTAAGAGAGCGGATGTGAGAGAGAACGGGCGAGAGATGGAGAGCGCAGAGAGACCTCGGAGGATGGTGCTGGGGGCTGCCCTGCTGCTGGCCTTGGCTTCGGGGCTTCCCCTCGCGACCTGCATTTGGGAATTTGGTGCTTGTAGGCTTTAACAATATCCGTCACTGGCCCAGAATGAAAGCTAGGTGACAGTGAAGTACAAAACTGTCATACCCATGATCACAGGAAGAAGAGCAAATAATGTGTTCGTCGTATTCGCCCCACTGCCTCCTTGTTTCCATAGCGGCCAGCATCAGAACAGTAATTCATCCCAAGGTCTAGTGTACTTTGTGATAGAGACTGCAAGACTCGAATCTGAGGGTCCTTGGGAGTTCTACATGTTCCAACTGCAAGTTCGGTTTGCAGGCGTTGTGTTCCATGTGTTGGCTAGCAGCTAGCATGTTCTGTAATTACTTCTGTGGCTGGTTGTGAAAACTCGGAAATCCTAACCCGAAGTGCAGCTCTCGAGCGACAAGCTCTTCAGTTGGAAGAAATGAAAAGACGTAACTTGCAAAGCTTAAACCTTAGACCTTTAGGGTTTAGGGTTTAGGGTTTAGGGCTGATAGATGCCCCGGACCAAAGGGCGCGAGGGGAAGGATGAAAGGCCATGGCAGCGGGCAATGTCTACGACTGGAACAAGGCGGCGATGGTTGCGGTTTCAGGGTCGCATTTGGCTCAGGGGTGCAGGCTGCATGCTGGCTTACCATGTTGTTGCCTCTCTCTCTTTGTCTCCTCTCCTTCTTGCTGGACCATGGGCTCTTGCGGAAACCATCGTCGACAATTATCCTGAATTATCCTTGCTACCAAGACTCCTACGACAGGAACCAAATCTGTCTTGGAGACATCCATGGGGTCCTAGGAGCAGCTATAACACGTTGCCCGGTTCCTTCGGGCTGAACCATTAGCCCGAAGCCTTAATCCAGCAGCAGAACCTAAAGTTTGAGCTCGAAGCCGCAATGGGCCCCCCCCCCCCCCCCCCCC